ATAGCTCCTCGCCATGGCTGGCTGGAGCCAAAACCCCGGCCGTAAATCCAGGATGAGAGCCGAGCGCTGCCTGCGCCCGCCTGGCCAGAGCTGGGACATTTCTGCCCACAGCTTTTGTTTCTGGCAGTTTTTTTGGGGGGTGGAGTGAGCCGGGGGGAGGAGGCCAGGTCACCCTTGGGGTTAGCCCCGGTTTACTCCAGCCGGGTGCAAGAGGAAAGGCTGTCCGAGGCGCTGGCGTGTCTTGTGCGCAGACCCTGCGGTGCTGAGAGCACCCAGAGCTGTGCCCAGCACAAACGCCAGCTCCATCTGGGGTCCCATCGCATCCCGCCCCGTGCGAGCCCGCACAGCTCTAGCAGGGGGAGCAGGACCCCGGCTTGCGGGGCTGAGTGGTCCGTGCCCCGGTATGCACCTCCTCACCACCCCCGTCCTCACTGAGCCCTACCTGTGGTTTCAGACGTGGATGAGTGTGCCGGCCAGAGCCACGGGTGCCATCAGCTCTGCGTCAACACGGCCGGGAGCTACCGCTGCGCCTGCCGGGATGGCTTCAGCCTCGCTGCCGACGACAAAGCGTGCCAGCCCTTGGTGACAGCCCCCGAGCCAGAAACCTTCAGCCAAGCAGGTAACCTGTCCCCTGTTGCAGGACAGCCCCGGCTGCTTGTGACCTTCAAGGAAAGCTGGGATTTACACTCAGCATCACAGGGCGGCTGGAGGCGGAGTGACGAGAGACAGGAGAGGGGAAGACAGCCAGAACCCCTCACCTTTATTCCCAGTGACCCGGGAGTCCACCTACCACCCAAACAACCTCCCAGCGCACAAATCCAGCCAATTCTCCATCTGCAAGTGTGACAGAGCCCATCCGTGGTGTGCAGTGGCCAGGATGCAACTGTTCTCTTCATCATCATCGTCATCCTTCCTGCAGGGCAAGTCCAGAGCCACCAGGAGTGGTGGGCGCCGCTGGTGACGGTCCATTATTACTTTTGGTACGCGCTGTGACACTTCAAACTCGTACCGTGAGTAATAATGCGCTGTGGCTGGCACAGGCATCATGCGGGAAACGCCTGGAAGAGCTTTTATCCCCTGTCCAGGGCCCTCAGCAGGGACAAGGCTTTGTGGCCACCATGGGAGAGGGCAGACTCAGGTGCTAACTAAACTGACAACATGGGCACGAAAGGCCAGGCTTCACCGGATGTCTTATCCTTTAAGCACTTTCACCCCACTGCCTGAAAAATTCCCCGCTTTGTTGCAGGTACTCCAGCAGCAAGGAGAAACTTGTGCGCGTTAGCAACAGGATTAGGTGCCAGTGCTTGCAGCAGGCGTTGGATCCAACTGATGCTCTGGGGGCTGGTCCCAGTGGGGCAGACCCCGGGGGGTCACCAGGAGGGGAGCGAAAAGCAGCGGAGCTTGGCCTGAGCCCTGCAGCAATGTCTCTCCCCACCTCGGGCAATGGGCTTTTCCTAACTGACTTTTTCTTGGTCACTTTTTCAGGTCCCCCCAGTGAAATGAAGGAAGAAATGAACGACCTGAAGAACAGAGTGGAAGCGCTGGAGCGGGTGAGCTTTCAGCACACACCTCTGCCCTGTCCTGCCCTCACCGCCCTGTCGTGGCTCGAGGCCACGCTCAGCCAGCTCCCACCCCGGGCTGTTCGCAGCCAGGGTTTCCCTCTGCCCTGGCTCTATTTTTATAATCCTGCTGGCCTCCTGCCGCAGCGATCCCAGCTGTGCTCCCTGCTGCCGGCAGAGCCCACGCAGCAGCTCTTGCAGCCCGGCGGCTCTTTGAACGCAACCAAAGCCCCACAAGCCGGCCAGTGTGCCGCCTCGGTGGGGTGTACCCCGGTAGGCAGCGCGCTACGTCCCACCGGGTGGTCCTCGTGGCTCGGGAGGACACGCTCACGGTTCTCCTTCTCCCTGTAGAAGCTCCAGTTGGTGCTTGCTCCCTTCCACAACCTCATGCCATCTGCGCCGGAGGATGTCGGCGCAGACCCCATCAGCCGGCTGTCCCACTCCCTCCAGCAACTGGACAGAATCGACTCCCTGAGTGAACAGATCTCCTTCCTCGAGGAGCGGCTGGAGACATGTAAGTGCCTGGAAAAAGCAGGGTTGAAGTACCTCACTCCATTCACACTGGCCACAGTGAGCAGATGCGGGCCAGTGAGATCAGTAACACATATGCCACTATTAATCTATATCTCTCTCAAGCTCAGCAGCCTGTAATTAATAAAAGATGAACACAAACAGCCCATTAGCTTCATTTCAAAGCTGTTTCTATGGCTGCACCATCTGACTGTCCTTGTAGCAGCCAAAAATCATAAGATCGGCACGTGGAAATGCAGCTCTGGGGCAGAAGCAGAGGGACACCACTATGAGCAGTAGGTCATGTCTCGCAATCAGCGCCCTCATCAGCTGTGTTCCCTTCCTGCACCGTTATAACTTAGAAAAGAAACCTCAACCCTTCGGAAATTAACAGTCCAAAGAGTCAATCAGGAAAGTTTAGGGAGCGTGCAGAAGTTGGCAGATTTACGAGCCTGGGAAGTTTTAGGCATTTCTTTTTGAAGTCTACAGACCAGTCCTTTGCCAAGCACTGGACCAGAGAGGGTCTCCTAAGTAGTGAACTCTGAAGAGAGACACTGGCGAGAGCTGTCGTGTGTGAAATGGCCGTAGGCGGGGGGTCCTGCCTGGTGTGCTCCCCCACGGCACCGCAGAGCGGGGCAGCGTCCCCTCGGGTCCCTGAGGTGTGTGCAGCGCTCTCCCCAGAGCTCTGCAGCTTGACCGAGTACAGCACAAACCACGGGAACGCTGTTTTGATAGGCAGCTCTTTGCAGCTCGTTTTCCCATTCAATAAATCCAGTCGAACACACCACACAGATATCAGGCATGGCTGGGCTGGCTCAGGAGCTGTGCGCAGCAGCAGCCCAGGGCTCAGGCCAGAGACGCGAGGGTGCTTGGAAAGACTTAAGGGGAAACTGTGTTTCAGGGCACAGCCGTCCCAGTTCGCTGCCTGCAGTAATGGCTTAAATATAAAAGACTTCAAAGGACTTGTTTGAAGACTAAGTAGCTGCAAATAGACACTTAAAAAACATCTCAGAAAGGGGTAATCATCAGAACCACAGAGTGTTCCAGCAGACAGTTTCCTAGTATTGCCCTGCACATATTATTGGTGACAGCACGAAGGAATGTGAGCAGTATCACAAGGTAGCATGGATTTATTCCAAGGGTTGACTCCGAACTCCTGAAACTAACTTCTGCCAAGCCTGTTCTGGCAAGCAAAACTTGTTTTTGTCCCTCTCATGATCTTGAAAGTCCCTGGAGGACAGAAGACTGTCCTTTTGTACCCCAGCAAGCACTGGGGCTTGCAGGGCATCCCATGCGAGTTTAGTAGCCATCCACTTTCTGTGCCTTGCAAAGCATTCCACAACTGAGTACAAAGATATGACTGCACCTTCCAGTTGCCTGCCCTGTGGGGATGTGTGTAAGGACTAAAAATCATTTTCTTTTCCTTAAACCACCAGCGAAGGCACAAGTTTGGATCTCTTTAAACCATAACCATCTGAGCCCCTAGAAGTCTGAATTACCCCAGCTCAGCACAGGCCGTGTCCATGCTGGGCTGTGACACTTACAGCCAGTCAGTGGCACGACGGACTCACAACACATAGGTGTGCCACAGACACCCCACGCCGTCCCCTCCCCAGCCCACTTTGCTCCCCAGGCACTGGGGACTTTGGTGACCAGCAGCGCCTGCTTCCAATTACTGTCACGCAGAGCCACCGGCTGCGTGTCTCAGCCTCCCGTCCCTGGAGCAGCCACCGCTATTGTCACTGGCTTTCCCACCTCCTGGGGACACTTTGCACAGGACTGCCCGTGCTCAGCTGAGGCTGTGGAGGACTGCGGCATGCCAGGGAGGAGAGAGTGCCGGTCCCAAATGAGGCAGGACAGAGCCAGCCTGGGGGTGTTTGGCAAAGGGAAAGCAGCGAGTGTGGGTGACAGTCACAGATGTTGAAGTCAACGTCATCCTTCTTGGGGAAAAGAGACAAACCAAATCCAAGCTAACAACATTGCTGGATCGGGGTTTTGTTTTGTTTGTTTGTTTTTCCATCTTCTCAGGTTCCTGCAAGAATGAACTCTAGCCGAGCACCCGAGGAATTGGAGCAAGCGGAGTGCATCTGTAGCTCTAATCTCATTCTCCAGCCTCAGGGTGAAGATGAAGCCACATCATCTACAGGAAGGCACAGGGTAGCAGGAGAAGGCTGGTTTTCCCATCAGCATCTCCATTTTCTTTTCCAACTCGCCTTATCAAAGGTCACGCAGTTGCTGCCAAACTGGACTGCGAGCGCTCAGCATCTCGCCCCCTTCCTTCTGGAGCAGGCAGAAAATAAATGCCTTACCTCGTGCCGTTAGTGCCTGTCTGGCTGTGCCAGAGAGACTGGCTGTACATGAACCTGTGTGGTGCTCAGCTTTGTCTGGCTTTTCCTTGGCATTACCCTGGGAGATCACCTCCCAGAGAAGCCCAGCCCCGGCCCAGGCAGGATGGCTGCCCCCCATGCTCCCCCTACCTGCTCCCACCCAAAGAAGGTGCGGGCAAGTCCTGCATTTGCAGGACTATGGCCAAAAAGGACTCGTGGCAGTGGGGGGAGCCCCAAGCCAGGCGTCACAGCAGGGGATGGGCGCAACTGGTCCCTGCAAAGGTACTGTGCTGGCTGGGTACAGGGAGCGGGTGCCCATCCCTGCAGCTTCTGTTCCGCTCTCTGGGATCAGCCGCCCTCCACAGGCGCTGGGGGTGGGCTGCTGCCTCACTGCTTCTGAACATGGCAACTGCAGCAGCTTGCTCTGAAACGACCTGCCCCTGCTCACAGTCCTCTGCATCATCCCTGGGCCCTGCAAAGCAGTAACAAGGATGAAGCTTTTATATGGGCCTGAAGGTGCAGAGTCTGTTTTGTTTTTTTTTTTAACTTGCTTTAATAGAAAAGCTTTCCCTGCAACACTCCCATCAGCAGCACCAAGCAGACAGGGACAAACCTGTGCCATTCAGTAATGCCAACAGGGTGAAGCCAAGGAGGGAGGGACAGTCCTCTCCATGCCTGGATTGGGGACCAAGGCCTGGCACACCCACGTGTTGACACTGGCAGGAGCACCGGCTGTCACGGTGGCCAGTCTCTCCTGGACCCGACGGCCGCTGCACTGTCAGCCCACAGCAGATGTCCCTACCTCCCCCCAGCACTGTTTACTCAAGCCCAGGGACACAGCAGAGCATACGTGACCGACCTGGTACAATGCTTTCCTACTTGCCTAGAGCGTAGCTGCAGGAGGAGCAGCTCGCCACATGGGCAACAGGGTGCTGCAGGGGTTGTACCAAAATAAACCCTCCTGCTGCGCACACCGAGTCTGTGGGATGGTTACTGGCTGGGAACGTGTTTGCTCCAGTGCCCTGCTTTGACACAGGCTCCCATCCACACAGGCACCACCTTCTTCTTCGCCGTGACAGGTCCCTGCAGGCATTTGTCCTCCTAGTTCAGGCTGTGGCTCAGCGTGAGGCTGGAGTGCAGAACAACACTTCTGCCTGTGGGACACAGGGTGAGGACAAGGACATTGCCATTCCCTCTCAGTCACCAAACCCACCCCCTTGCAAGAGCTGAAGGGTCAGCACCCTTCTTCCCACAGCAGCCCTCCTCCCCCTGCTCCCACACAAGACCAGGAGTCTCCTTTATTTAAATAACCAAAGGTGTACTTTTTTTTTTTTTAAAGCACAATACATTATTCTCAACCCAATTAAAAGTGAACAGCAGACAACTGCACACAGAGGCACCACTCCCTCCTCTTAGGGAAGGACGCTGCAAGAATCACTCCGAGGATGTGGTTATCTCCCACCAGGAGCTCTCCTGGGACCCTCCTGGGTTTAACCTCCATGACAGCTCTTTATCTGCCACTCTTACAAAGTGCTGGTTCAGTCCCCATCCTCCCACCCCGACCCGTCCCACAGCGGGTCTGACCCCTGAGTCTGTACTGTAAGGCCCCTCCAATAAAGCCCCCCTGGCCACCGCCAGCACCAGCTCAGCCCAAGGGCTCCCTCCCTTGGGGACCACTGGCTCTACAGGACCACCCCCATAAGCTTTAACCCCAAAATTCTGTATGACTGCATTTCCACCAACGCAGCCCCGGACAGGCTGCAAGAGCCAGCTGTGTCAGTTAGCAGAGTAGCCTCAGGCAGTTTGTCTCAAGGTTATACACCCTGCGCTGTAAACAGGAGAGCTAAAGCCTCCCTGAACCCGAGTTAGAGGTGAAGGTCACCCCCTGGAACCATGGACCTGACCCAGCCTTGCTCTTCACAGAGGTCATCAACACTTCTGCAGCTCGCAGCAAGGGATCCAGGAGCCTTGCTGGTCCATCACACCAAAGCACAGGGGAAATCCCTTTATCTGAACGGGGGAAGGAGCCCATTTCCCCCAAAGGGAGAGCTGAAGCCTTCCAAGCCCCATTACAGCTGCAGCTCGCCCACCCTGCAGCTCTGCAGGAGTTCTACAAGCCTTGCAGAGCAGCAGCTCCACCGAGATCTGCACAAAGACACACGGGACAGGCACCATCTTTCGGCCAGTGCTGACCATGACAAGTGGCAAAATAAACATGACAGAGCCCTTCACATCTGCGACAAGCACTGCAGGCACAACTGTGACATGGTCGAACCACGGCAGGGAGTTGGCAGATACATTTGCCCAGGACTCCGGCAGATCTGTGCGATTTTTAAAATCAAACGGGTGGCTCTGAATGGTAGAAACAAACATGAGGCTTCATTCAGAAGATGAGTAAACTGGCAAGGCTGGACAGCATTCAGCTAAACTCTGCCCAGACCATATATGCTGGCATGGTCAGACTGCAGCTTCCCTCCCACTGCTGCACCCCTTGGTGAGCGAGGGCACTTGTTCAGACACGGCAATCAAGCCCAAAAGAGACGCTATAAGGCTGACTGACCCCATACATTCCCCTTTGCAGCCCAGCTGAGGTTATTGGCCCTAGGTGCTTTCTTCAGAAGTGAAAGACTTGGCTCAGGAGTGCCTGGGCAGCACAAAGCCCCAGCACAAGATGCTGCTATGACCCAAGGGCACCTCTCAAGGAGACAGGTCCTGCCCCAGAGACCGCCCACGAGCTCCACCGTGCCAGATGGCAGTGCACCAGGTTGCCCAGGGAGGACACCACACTCCCTGCGCTGCTAGAGTCTGGATTTTCACCCGATTTCTCAGCTCTGTTTGAGCATCAACATTTTGCAGACACAAACTACTGCCTGGTGGTTTCCATCTGGGACAGCACAGGGCCAGGCCAGCACTAGCTGAACCTGCAGGAACATGGGTGCAGGGACACTCGCGTGAGGCAGAGCCCGGCCTCCAGCCAGGTTTTTGTCGTCGCCCCACGCCAGCTGCCTGAGCTGGGGGAACTCACCTCTCTGGTCATTGAGCCCTTTGGTAGCACAAGTTTGATGCCTGAGAAATTCAGAAAAAGGAGACGTTTCATTGTGAGATAATGAACCCATAAGAGAAATCCACTCAACAGGGAACCTCAGCGTTCGCTGGACTCCCTGTGTGTACCAGTCTGTGGCATTCCCAGAATTAGAAGTCGCTGCAGAGGAAGAGACGTTCCTTCAGTATTTGGCAACAGACAGGTCCCTTCAGTCACCACCACACAGTGATGCCACTGGAGAAGCATCTATGATGATTTCTTTGCTTCACTAGGACTGCCTGACAGCCTGAAGAGGGTCTCCCTCATGGTGTGGAAGCATCTGTCAGTGAGGTCGGAGACATCATCTGATGTCAGGCCTTTGGTCTCTATTGGAGGCAGAACCTCAACCTTAATTTTCCCTGGGAACGAGAGAAGAGCCTGTGAGAAACCCACACACCACAGGAGCACCGTTCTTTGCCCTCCCAGGACCCCTGGACAGCCCCAGCACAGCCCTCATCTCCTCACATGGCTTCAGGTATCCATCCCTGGAGTGCCGGTGGAGGCTGCACTGGTCTCAGGGGTAAGAGATTGCTGTGGGGATTAGATGCTGCCCTCGAACAGCTGCACCAAGCAGCAGAGCATTTCCTTTGTGCCCCACACTGACATCCCAGCCAGAGCTTGCCCCTTTCCAAGGCCGGTGTCACCGCTCTGCCCTCACCTGCCAGCCAAGAGTAGGGGGAGCCGAGGGCTATGGACCCACTCAGCTCCAGGGCCATGCCAGGCACCGCCTGCACCAGGTGCTCCCTCCATCTGCTTCTACCCAACCCTTCTACCTTTGGCTGGCTCCAGCCACCCCAGCAGGGAGCACAGCAAGCATGGCTTCCTCCCAAAAATGAGAGTTACAAGCCAACTTTCTGCCCAACACTTGTACTGACAGATTTCTGAGCTTTGATACGACCACCTTCCTTGGTTTGCTTGCAGAGGGGTCCCTGCTTTCAAAGGTCAGGAGGCAGAGCACGCCTGCTTCTTTCCCCAAACCCTCACCAAATGACAGGCTGTGCCAGTTACGACAGGGAGAGGTGGTGTTCAATTTTTAATGAAAACATCCCTCATTGTATTTAATTAGATTCTTTCCTGAGTTAGCCCAGCCCAGGCTCTGGTGCCAAGTGCTTTGAACTTACTCCACACATCTCCCAGAAGAACTCCACCTGGTCACCCCAGCTCTGCTTCCCTCCCACACCCTTGGGAACTAGATCTCCACATGGGTCTAGCATCAACCCTCTCTCCACGTGACTGTAAAGACCCTCACGCTCTTTCGTACCTGATGTAAATAATTTTGTCTTTGGGTTATAGAAGGTGGTGAAAGAGGAATATACCACGGGGATCACTGGTACCTTTGGGAAGAAGAGGAAAAAGAGGAGTTACTTGCACTGCAGCAACTCGGGGCAGGCCAGAAATAAGCAGCAAATCCCATGCAGCAGAGCTGAGCTGGCCCGGCTCTCACACACACAGGGCACACACAGCCCCACAAGCAAGATGCACTTCCAAAGGCTGGCACAGTCCAGAGCCAAAGGGGATCAAAACCACTCCTCAGCAACTCAAGGCACAGGGACATTAAAGGCACTAGGGCTAAGTTATACTTCAGCCTCAGGTCAGCACTGGCTCTCGGGGCTCCTCATCTCAAGCCAGACTTCAAAACCCAGGTATATTTTCTGACCTGCAAACATTGGAGGATGCCTGTTTTGATATGTCCTTGTACAGCACGGCAAGGCCTGTTCGGGGCAGGCCGGCTGGTGTGCCTTCAGCTTCTAAGAAAAGGAGTCACCGGCTGCAACCAATTGTTCTCAGGGAAGCTTCAGACAGGTAGAGACACAGCCAGGAAGGCAGGAACAGAGTCCTTATTTCAGTGCTGATAACACAGACACAATCTACAGCTAGTGACTCAGGGGGAATGTTAGCAGAGGTGGGTGCCATTTCCACTATCGTCCTTTCCGTCCAGCAGCCACCAGCCCCTGCCTTGGTTGCATCACCCCGGAAGGAATGGGGATGGGTACAGTGCAGGCTACACCCTGGGCTTGGCCAATCAAACCCAGCAAGAGATCTGGCACCTACTACTCCCGTCTCCAGGATCCCTGCTATAACACCTCTTTTAGGGAAAGCAGTTTCCCCTCAGGCCTGGAGTCATCCCATTCCTGAGAATCAAGGCAGAGCATGCATGGGAAGGGAAGGCACCCATCTCCTCCCAGCCGCCTCTCTGGCACCTAGTCCTCACCCCCAGGAGCTGAGCAGGGTGGACCAGCTTCCCACAGCCACCTGGGCCCAGGCAGCACAGCCAGGTCTTCAGTGTCCCCAGCACACTGCCCCAGAGCTCTGCCCAGGCAAGCACCACCACTCCTTCAGGGGCCCTGACAGCTCTAGCTGTTTGAAGCCAAGGAGCTGTTTGTCTGCTCTTCCACTAACTGCTCACGGATCTTGTCATTTTGGAGAGAGGAGGCATTTAAGACATACCAAGAAGTGCCATATGGCTGTCTGGGAGGGAACAGCTATTTCCACACAGAGCAAGCCCAGATATTGCTCTAAAGCACTAGCATTAACAATCCTGAATCAACACCACACTATTGCAACCTGGGGGATTGAGAAAGGCATCAACAGCTTTGGGATTCCCCATGCAATCTCACAAAGCTCAGCACCCGCTGGACTCCCAGCCAGAAGGAAGCTCTGTGCTGCAGCCGTGAGCAGGGCACAGACACTGCCTGCAAAGCCCGGAAGCTACGAGGTCAAGTGTCCCAGTCCCCTGTGCTCTGCCCTTCAGATGGGACACCAGAAATGCAGTGCTGGAGCAGTCAGGACAGAGGACAAGGCAGCTTCTCCACTGTTTGCAGCCCCCCATCCACAGGGGTCAAGTCACTCCTGCAGCGGATGGAAAAGGCTCTTGGCTCCTGCTGGGCAGCTCTCATGACACCTAATGGTGGTTTAGCAGAGGAGCTCAGCTGTGACCTGGGAACACAGCTCACTGGAGAGCAAATAAACCATACCACTGCGTGACCAGTCTGCAATGCCGCTGCAAAAGCATTCAGGGTTTCCATGCAGGAGCAAAGCCCCATTACCTGTGCCTGGATGGCAAGGTGAAATGCTCCTTTCTTGAATGGCAGCAAATCCCCTGTGCAGTTCCTTGTGCCCTCTGGGTACACCCACACCTTCACCTGTACAAGGGGAGATAAGGCTGTGCTCCAGCAATCCACTTGCACTGCCCCCTTCCTGCTGGCCGAGCCACCAGCCAGCCTTGCCAAGAGCTGCAGGTGGCTGTAGCTTCAGGAGAGCCAGCAGCAGGAGTGCCACATCCCCCCGTGCCTCCCCTGGATACCCAGACACATGCCACAGTCACACTCACGTTGTCAGTTGTCATACTCTTGGCCACCTCTGCCATCACCATCTTGGCACTGGTTGTGCTCTTCCTGTTGATGAAGATGACACCACCGAGGTAGATGATGAGCCCCACAGTGCCAGCGTACATCAGCTCCTTCTTGCCCACCTGGACACAGTCGTCAGGCAGGACCTCCATCAGCCCTAATGTGATGGTAGAGGGTGAGACATAATCTGAGGTGGGCACAATCTGAGAAGCACTTGAAGCTGAGCAGTACCTGGGGTGCTGCATGTGGTGCGATTGCTCAGAGTGAGCAGGGACCCTTCCTGCAACCAGCACTGCTAGAGAAAGCTGGACCAGCTGGCTCGGTAGCTTAGACCAGCCAGGGCAGGGGGCTGCTTGGCCAGGAGATGCAAGCAGCATTTCTCTGATGGTGAGCAAGAGAACCGCTCCCTCCCTCCCACCAGCTCCTCACCCATCATGTCAAGGATGCTCTGGTGGTTGGATACAATGATAGCAGGGCCCTCCACCTTGAAGTTCTCCAGTCCCTTCACCTCAAACCTCACGCCAAAGAAATACTTGAAGGTCTTGACCACGGCTCTGATGATTCTGCAGAAGAGAAGAGCAGTCAGCAACTGGGCAGGGAGGTGACAGGGTCTGCTATACCCAGCATGGGTGGAAGGAGACAAGGCAGCCCCTGTGACAGAGAGCCTCCAGTCTCATTTGCTCTGTGGTCCATCCAAATATCTGTCCTGCATGGTCCCAGGTGCTCAAGGTACTTCAGTTGAATGCTAAGCCTTGTCCACTCTCAGTGTAGGAATTTTACTAGAAGCCTGGGGGAAGCTGATGGTGACTTTGAGGCCGGTACAGCTAGACTCGACTGTTCATGCTTACTTCAAGCTGACAGCATCAGCTCACAACCAGGCTTACTATGAGCTCTTTGGAAAAGGCGAGTCCAGCCTAGTGCAACTGCATGAGCCCTGCAAACGGAGGGCAAACTAGAAGCCCTCCACAGTCCAGGAAGGACAGACCCTGGTTTCAACACTGAATCAAGGACCACTCCTCCTGCTGCCAGTCCTATCCACTTTGTGCTGTTGTTTCCCCCTGTGCCACGGCTGTAGTCTGCTCTGATGCTTCCAGTGTTTTCCTCCTGCAATCAGTAGAGCCCCACAAGTTGTTCAAACAGTTCTAGGAGCTGCCACTCCCCAGCACATGGGTATTAGCCTGCTATCACCTAAAGAAGGCTCTGCCAATTCTGCTCCTTGCAGTGCTGGAAGATGCTGCTTAACGATACAAACAAGACATTGGGTGTCACTACACCAGGGGAGTCCAAGAAAGGAGGAGAATGAAGGTGAGAAACACTTCCCTGTAAGACGCAAGGCTGCAAGCAGCAAACAGGATGCTCCCCACACAGCCTGGCAGAGGGTAGGTGCCCCCAGCAAACCCATCTTCAAGCAAACAGCTTTTGCCTGTCAGTTCACTTCCCCAGCGGATCTACAGCTCTGTCCACAAAGCTCCCAGCTTTCCTCCCCTGTGCCTGAGGGCTGGGACCCCACCTGGCAGAAGCTCCACTCAGCTCTGCCAACGCATGGAGCAGGCTGCCATGCCCTTGCTGAGCACACCCAGCCCAGGCTCGCAGCTGAGACCCTGCCAGCCCATGGGAGCAGGGCCCGTCTATGCCACCCCCAGACAGGTGGGAGCTGAGGACCCTCCAACTGGGCCAAAGGACGCAGCCAGAAGCTGGCAGCACACGGCGCTATTTTGGGCAGGGGAACAGCCATTCGCCAGGACAGGAGGCAGAGTTTGCACATGAAGAAAGGCCCCAGGAGCAGCCACCAGCTCTGCCTTGCTCTCCCCTAGAGCAGATTCAGGAGCTGACCTGCCCTCCAAAAAGCACCTAGACGCCCTGCCTCAGGGCCCACTATCTCCCTGGCACAGCACCACCAGCCTGGGAAGCATCCCTGTCACCTGGGGTGGGAGGGGAGCATCCAGACAGCATCTTATCCTAACTTGGCAGCAGCTCCCAGCATCTGTTCTCCAAAAGTCTCCCCATCCCAACCATCAACTCTTCAACCGTGTGCCTCTGTCAAGGCAACTTTCCCTGGCTTGCTCCTACCCGCTCTGGGGTTCCTATCTCTGTGGGGTGACCCACCACGCAGACTGCCTAGGCCCTGGCTTTGAAACTGGAGCTCAGGCCAGGACAATGCCCGCAGGTGACACATCTGAGTGACACTGCAGCTATCAGTCCCGGGTCATTCAAATTTGCTGCAAAGGTTAGAGCCGCACCCAGGGAAAGGGCATGGGGAGGTGCACAGGCTGCAGAGCTCCCGAGCACCATGGGCCTGCATCAAGGTTACGGGAGGGCAGTCCAGGTGAAGAGACAAGGGGCAGGTGAGTAGAGGCAGGGTGACATGAATCAGTGAGGTCATGGTGGATGCCATGCCATCAGACTGACCTAAATCCCACTTCTCCTCCCTTCTGACTGCCAACCAAAAAAGAGGTCACTGCTCTGGAAGTCACGCTGCTCCGTAGCTGCCAGGAGAGGCTGGTTACACATTACTCAAGAGCAACCATCGAACTTCCTCCTGCCAGTAAGGAGCCAGCGTTTCCTTGCACAAGATGTGGCCTGAGCCACTGAAAGAGGCAAAGGGGCAGAGCTCAGAGCAAGCGAAGAGCCACCAGGTGACCGGCAGCCCTGCTGAATTGGCCACGTCATCCACAGGGTTAAGCAGGTAGGTCCTACTCCCCTTCATCCCTGCAAGCAGCTTCTCTGCTGGTATGAACGATCCAGTCACAGCCGCGGAGAGCTGTAAGTCTGATGCGCTTATTGCCAGACACAAGGAGAGAGTAGAAAAATGAAAGGCAATGTGCTTTTTCAGTGCATCCGTAGCAGCCGGAGTCTGAAATCCAGCAGCCCCACCTTCATGTGCTCTGCTCTGCAGCCTGTGACAGAGGCCTTTTTAGGATACTCTGATTTTCAAGGATTAATGAAGCGTGCTTACCGGATTGGAAGCTCTTGCAAGAGGTTTCGCCACTAGATAAACAGCACTATCTCTACCAGACACAGAGGGCAACCTCTTCCAAGTCACACCAGCTTGGCACTGGAGCCAGGAGCACAACAAGGACAGGGTGTTCTGCACCGGGCAGTGATGCTGTTATCGCTGTCTGTCCACCAGCATGCGCTCTGCTCCAACCCCCTTCCCCAAGCTGGAATAAGGAGACCGGGATGATGCAGAACTAAGGAACTCACTGGATCAACTCAGCCACAGACCTCCCAGGGGCTGGGATACATGACCAGGACCATCAGCCAGTGCCAGCACATGGAAACGATGGGTTTAAGTTACAGGAAAAGGGCGGTTCTGGCCAAAATTCAGCTCCGAGTTTCAACATGAGGAGATGTTCAGTGCAAGGAGTTCTTGTTCCCAAGGAGCTCCTTTAAGTTTACAGGAGATTTACAAAGTTTTAGGGGTGGGGAAGAAAGAGAGTGTCTCCACAACTAACATCATAAATTCCCCAAGCGGCAAAGCTGGTCGTGCAATGGAAAGCTGCTCCTGAGCCAGCCAAGGCAACCAAAACTGGAAACAGAGCTAGGCTGGAGATCCCAGAGCAGATTGCTCTTTCCAGTGCCTGGGGCCACACCACCTGAGCAGATGATGGCAACCCATCGGCTGGGGTGGGCAGGGCAGAGCCGGTGAGGCAGCATGGTGGTGCCCTGTGCCCGCTCACTCCACCTTGAGCCCTGCCTGCAAGAGCCACACCACAAAGCAAAGTCCAGCTCCACCAGCCGAGACGCTGCCACACCTTTGGTCCAAAAGGATGTATTAAGGCAACAGGGCTCCCCTTTGCCCTGCAGCCATGTAACTTGGCCTGGACACGGGTGCCTTGAGGAGGTAAAAAGCTGCAAAGCGAGGACAGCAAAGCAAGGAGCCCAAGTTCTCCTGTGCTGACAGGGGGAAGCGCCAGCTCTGCCCTTAAAATATACCTTCGTGTGTAGAGGAGCTGCTCTTCTCCAGCAGCAGCTTGGCCACCATCAGAGGGCAC